GAGCCCAGCCAAAGGCTTCCAGAAAATCGGGCGAGTCCAGCCTGGCGGCTCTTCCATGTTGCTAAGCGCAGCCACATCAGGAACATTGCGAGCAGTTCGATGGGCCATCCAAACAACCTGCTTGGGAGCAAGCTTGGTGAGACAGATTTCTTCCCCAGCGTCAATGATGACACGGTCGGCCGAGGGGGCGCTCCACCCAAGCTGTTGGACAGTCAGCATATACACATGTGCAGGGCTAGCCGCCGAGGCCCACAAGTTGGAGGCCCGTTCCAAATCTCGAGCTGCCGAAACCAACGCAGCCTGCAAACTTTCTAAGGCTGGCCTACCTATCCATACCGCACGCGCCCATAACCCTATGACCTGGGAGTGGTAGAGGCAGAAGGGGCACATGACGCGGCCGAGCTTAGTAGTGGCCAGCTTGAGGCCAACCGAGGCGCCCTTTTTATCCACATGCAGGCTGGTAACCGCAGCTCTACGAAGTAGGTGTAGTTGTCTCCCACTAAGTCCAGACACTCCAGAGCCCCATAAGGCCGTGGCCTGCGGCCCCGCACGCTGAGTGGATCCGAGTTTAGCCCCTGCCTGCTTCAACTTCAACATTTTGAAGAACCCCCAAAGACCTTGTTAAAAACCGAGTCCCAGCCGTTTGAAGCACTCGTCTTTTAGCATCATGGGGGTCCGTGCCAAGGGATCGCGGGTGCTTTTTCCTAGCGAAGCCGAATTCCTTCCACTCCTGATTCAGAGCGTCCGCCAACTCGGGGTTGGAGGCAATGAAGTGAGTCTTGCTGGCCGCCAACACCAGCTCCAAACGCCTGTGCCCAGAGGCAAGAAGGCGTCCAGCGCCTCTTAGTTGCGCAGCGACAAAGCGAGACGATCCTAGGCACTGCGCATGTACATCATCGACTACATTCCTGACTAACACAGCTGGGAACTTATCTGCTATAGAGACCATGAGCCTGTAAAGTCGGACCTTGACTAGGGAGGTAGCCAGGGGGCATCCAGCCAGTACCGTTCCGTTAGCTTTAAACACCGACGAGATTGCACCCATGAGCGTGAGGCACCTGGGCCCCGAATACAAGCTACAAGCCACGTGTATGAGCTCGAGGTTGATATCTCCTGCTACAGCTTCTTCGAACAGCCGACAGCGCGAGATACGTTCGTAGAATTTCGAAAGGTCAGTGAAGAGCGTGCCAGAGTCGGAGTCGATTGTCTTAGCATATTGTGACATGATATTACGTTCCCAACCTGCTGTGTCACATTCCTTAGTAGAGCAGCCCCAAAACGCCGATATCTGGCGAGATTGCTCCCGAGACCTGGCCAGGCTCTGTCGGGGGCGGGCCCAAGTACGTCCGAGGGAGATGATCAGAGCCAGAGGTCTGAGGTCAGGGGACTCGGGCTTACCCGTGAACACGATCATGGTTGGCCATTTACCCGAAAGGTAAGGCTTCTCTTCCCAGAGGATCAAGATATCCAAACGTCGATTCCGAAAATCGTCACTCAAAAGGAGACATGACCTCGGATTGATGCAATCAATACCAAGGCCGACGTCACGCCGAAAGCGTGTTAGGGCTGCATCTATCATGTCGAGGCTAGGCTGAGGGAGCGCAGCGTTCTGGGCGGCAACTCTCTGAACATCTGTCATGCGCGTCTTGGCATCGTGCCGCATCGCGCCCCAGGAGTCGCACAGGCTGTCGACAGCTGCATCACCTATAAGGGGGGCGCCTGTGGCGTCCTCTGGCGGTCGCAGCTGCTGCTTATCCTTCGCAAACCTGCGTGCAGCTTTTCCTCCTCCTCCTACAGCTTCCTTAGCCCCACCTCTGCCACTTCTGCCACCTAACCCTTCCTTCTTTGATCGAAACCTTGTCCGCTACATCGACCGCCAGCTCAGACAAACATTCAAACTCGTCGCCGCCACGAGCAGCCACTGTGAAGATGTCATCTAAGCAGCACTGGCCAAGGATAAGGTCGGAGGTGAGATCGTTTTTGTCGAACTTCCCAAGAATGTCCAGGAGGTTCTGGCAGAAGTCAGGGGGTAGTCATCAGGGTGGTCCCAGAAACTTCGAAGGCGCATGATGGTAGACCGAAAGGTACGCAGAGAGCGGGCCTTAGGGGTAGAGTGCGCATCCCACTGCCTGTTGATGGGCCTCCTTAAGTTGGACCTTCTTCCTCTGGAAGCCTCGGGATCCCCCGGTGTACTGGGACCTGCCGGGGCCGAAGATATCGAATTGTTCACACAAGTTGGTTTCCATGTTATCTAACCACTGGCACCGTATAGAGTCTAGGTCGCTGGAGTAATCCAAGCAAGGCACCCGTGCTCCAACTCCAGGTGGCTTCAGACAGTTCTCTCACACATCCAATTCGGGGCTTGGTGGGGAAGGCCTTCCAAGTTACCCTGACGTGCATGACCTGGTTCAGGGTGAAATTCCGATGCCCCATTAAGACGGGAACGTGAGGCGACGAAGGTCCAGCGAACAGGGCGGATACCGAGGTGATAGCAGCTGCCGCACCTCTGCACACAATGAAATAGTCCAAGGTCTGCTTGTGACAGGTCGGAGCCTTGGGCGCAATGATTGTGCCACCTACAAGCGTACACCAGCCGAGCAGCCCCGGGTCCGAGGCATCAATGTTGAGGTCACCTCCAAGAGCCCAAGGGGTCTTAAGCTGTTCCAGGAACTCCCCAAGGTCCTCCAAGAGCTGGATGCTTAGGCCAGTGCACCCAATTCCAGTATAGCCATACACAGAGACCCAGTGCATTCCCCCAGGTACGACAGCTTGGGCGTGGGTGGCGACAATCCTCCCGCGTCCGACTGGCCCCACCCCGAGCTGCTCATACGAAAGGTGTCTGCTCGCAATGTGACGTCGGACAGCGACAGCAACACCTGCCGAATTAGCTAGTTGGTGGTCTCCTGTGAGAACAGCAGGATCATGATGGGAGTTGAGGCCTCGAAAACCTGCCCAAGAAGTCGCCGAAGATACAGGGTCTCCTGCCAAAAGACGCGCCTCCTGGACAGCGACGAAGTCAGGAACCTCCCCCATGAGATGTATCCATTCCCAGACGTCCTGGAGCCCGTTCCAGTTGTTAGGGTTGGTCGTTGAAACATCCCAAAACTTTGTCTTTGCTTGTTTGGGCCTTGGGACGCTGGCCTCTCCCAACGCTCCTGCCTGCAGGATGAGGCCGAGGGTCGGGAGCAGCAGCAGCACCTGGCGGAGGCGCCTGGTGCCACGTCGGCCGAGGCACGGGGCCTGGAGCCGAGCTAGCAGAAGTCGACGTCCCCGCAGAGGAAGCCAACGTAGACGAAGCCGTCGCAGGAGCAGTAGTCGTACCCGTTGAAGAAGGCGAAGCAGCAGACCCAGTCATTGCACCCGAAGCCGTCGCAGCTGAGGTACCAGCCGAACTGGAGGACGAAGTAGGTGCTGCTGCTGATCGGCGTGGAGCACGACGTGATTGTCCAGGTAGCGGACCAAAAGGTGGCGCTGGCCCCATGACGGTGCTGGCTTGCGATCCAACTCTTCAAGGATTCATATTCATAGTTGTGCATACCAGCGGCGGCTAGCTGTTGATTGCGATTTAGCTTGCGGCACCAGCGAAGGAAACTCTGACGACTGCGCACACCTTTATGCCAAGCACGAACACAAATCTCATGCGCCAGTTGCCGAGGCGTCTGCATACGTGCTCGCAAAGTATGCGCAAACCTCGGATGAGCAAGCTCTTGCGCCAAAAACGCCTCACACCAATCATGATATGCTGCCTCGTCATCTGGCTGCAGTCCGTGATACGGGTTGTGGACCCATCGCTGGGCCCAGGCTCTGGCATGTCGTTCCAAGCAGGGCGCAGGCACAATAGCGCGAGGCCCAGCTGCAGCCATGCGCGAATCTGGCAAAACTGCCAACCCGCCTCCCCCATGCGCTGTTTCCCTCGCCTCCTGTGGAGAGGGTGCCCCAGGGGAAGGGCAGGCTGGTGGCGACGCATAGCGTTCTGACGTCCAGGTCGAAGACCCAGTAGACGAGGCGGTAGGTCCACTGGTGGCAATCGTCCAGTACGTGGAGGACCCAGCAGCGCAAGTACCCGAGCTGCTCGCGGCAATCTTCGCCGTCGTGGGAGGACCAGTCGTCGCAGGTGCCCCAGCAGAAGCCGTAATCTGTGTCGCTCGTGTCTCCAGCCCAGGGCAGGCACATCCCTGGCCAGCTGGAGGTCTGGTAGCACCTCTAAGATGGACATGTGGCGCCTTCTGCTGGAAACCGCGCACCGAACCTCCAGGGAGACTCGCGCCGTGGGGCCGCCACGGGGTCATCCCCTTCTCAGGGAAGGTGGGGCCAGTGAGTGCGCCGCACTGCGTAGATGCTGATCCACTCCTGGCACTGCAGGTTGTAGGTCGTGTTGTGGAACCAAAGGTAGTAGATGGGGAATATGGGGTGTGTCCAGGGCAGCCAGGGGTTGTAGTCGTCGGTGACGCTGGTCTGCACCCCACCAAGACACTCTTCATAAGGTAGAGAAGGACAGGCATGATTATTCCAGTTGGTATCCCCGACGCAGAAGTTACCTGCATGTCCAGCTGAAACGTGATGCTCTGGAAGGTAGTGATCAGCATCCAAGGTTGCACCCGACGGAGTAGCAAGCAAACCCGAATGCTGGTAGTCGAAATCATAGTTCATGTTGCCCTTGCTGTGGAGGGCCTGTAGCGACGCAACCAGCAGCCAGCTTGGCCTTCGCATCATTGACGGATCGATGTAGAACGGCGCGCTGGCTTGCCATTGGCCTGCTTACTGGAGGCTGCTTCAGCTTCAGGGGCTGCAGGAACACCAGGCGTAGAAGGCGCAGCCTTGGAGTCAGTTGAGGTACCTGTCGGCTGACTGTCAGCGGCCTCCGTAGCCGCCTTAGCCTCGTGATTATTAGCTGCTGCATCACCTGGCACAGGTTCCTCTTGCTGCTCGCATCGTCGCTTCTTAGCTGCCACTCGCTGTTTAGCCAAGGTGTGCTCTTGCTTGAGCTCATCAGCTTTGGCCTTGGCCTGCCCGAAACAGACGGTAGCCAGTTCCCGAAACTTCTCCTGAAGGGCCTCTTTCCTCTTCTGAGCCTCCGCCAGGTCCTCGGGCGATGCCAATTCCCCCAGCGCATCGGGTCCAAATCGGCCTCCGTCGTCGAGGTCCAGGGGCTTGCCATCCAGGATTGCGGCCAAGTCGAGACGAGGGGCAGCAGGAGCGTCGGCGCTGTCAGGCAGTTTCGTGTCCACCGTCTTTGCAAGCTTCTGGACCGCCTGCTTGTAGATGCTGCGGGCATAGTCCACTGCTTCCGAACAGGACTGAACTTGGTCTTGGGCCGTGACGAATTGTTCTTCCAGCTTCTCGCAGTAGGTGATGGCCCTGCGGAGGGCTGCCTCCGCTTGCTCCACCTTCTGCTTCGCCTGGCCGACGCTGATGTTCTCAACTGCCTTCTGCTGATTGAGCAAGTCCAGTTTCGACTGATACTTGGCTGCCATCTCCGCGTCACCATTGGCGCGGAGGAGCTGGATGAGGTCTGCCAATCGTGCCTGATCCTGCGATTGACCACTGGGGCCTGGCCATGCCGATTCTTCCAAACACAAGCGTTGGGGCGAAGCAGTTCCTGGCCGCGCGCCGTCAGCGAAGGATACCGATGGGGCTCGCCGTGCAGCGCCAGGCCCTGGGGAAGACACTGCTGAGGCATCCACCAATTGTCCATCGCGTCGTATCCAGGGCACGCGTCGCGGCGCTTGACCACGATCAGCAGCAGGCCCAGGAGAACGACCAGGCCCACGCGGACGTTGAAGCACGGCATCATCGGCCGCGGGCATCGGCGCCTTGCAGTGTTTGCACCATTTCCACCATCGTTTGATGCGTCCACAACCGCATTGCTCACACTTGGTCGCGGACGGACTCGAGAAACGGTGGGCAGCGGCCGCGCGCACTGGTGTGTCAGAGCGCTGCATGGCTGCGGGCGGGGCAAACGGAAGTGCACGTCTGACGGCGCCGTGCTGGACAACGCCGCCACAAGGTATCAGCCTCGTGGTATGTGAAAGTGAAAGGGACTTGCTCACGCCCTGGTTTGGCAGCCACCTGTGGGCGCGAGCTCAAGGAGCTGTCCTGGCCAGCTGCCTTGACAAATGTATTACTTGAGCCAAAATGGCTTGAGCCAAAATGGCTTGAGCCAAAATGGCTACGGACTCGTCATCGTTCTTTTCCTCTTCCTCCTCCTCCACCTCCTCCTTCTCCTCTTTCTCTCCCCCTTCCCCTCCTCTCCTCTCTTCTTCCTCCTCCTCCTCCTCCTCCTCCTCCTCCTCCTCCTCCTCCTCCTCTTCTCGCCCTCCTACTCTTTTCGCCTGGCTCGGCCGCCAGGCGATAGTAGCAACTTGTGTCCGTGATTTGCGGCTGCTGCCGCCATCGCCGTCGTCCTTTCTCGCATCGTTGCTTCGGTTCGTCTGTTGTCGTCGTATTGCCTGCGCCGTTGTCGTTTCGCTTCGCCGACGTCGGTGGTTGTTGCCTCTTTTTTTTTCTGCTTGGATCTCGTGCCACTACGCGGACGCGCGCGGGGGGCCAATCGAGAATCCTAGAATCTTAGAGTCCGTCTCCTCGTCCTCGTCATCCAAGGGTTCTGCCTGGGCATGCTACCCAGGTTGCCTGGGAGATTCAGGACAGCGCCCGTCCCGAAGCGATGTCACCTGTTCTCTTGCGGCGGCTGGGAACTCCCTGACCAAAGAGTCCCCAGACGAAGCGAAGGGATGGGTGTAGGAAGTATAGGTTCTTGACCCGATTAGAACGTATTCCCCCTTCCGTCTCCCCTCTTTCATTCGCATCCAAGTCTTCTTTTTTGCTCTATCCAAACACCCTAGAGCCTGTGCAGCAGCCTCGTAACGCAGGGACGATGGGGGTGGGGCAGCTTGCGCCTGGAGGCATCGTGTTCGAGAACGGTGTCAAGTGGACAAGGAAAGGCGACTTAGGCTGGCGACTTGAGTGCCTTTCTGTATCTTTTTGTCGGCAGCCTGTAAACCTGTTGAATGCAGATGTCGCGTTGATTAAAAGCCGTCGTAGTGGTTCCATCTGCGTTTGTTCATGTCGCAGGATGTGGTAGATTTGCGCAGGCCGAGTCTTCATCGTATGTTCTGTACCAGCAGTGAAGGAGCATCTGTTCGGGGAGTCGTTCGAGAGATCACGTGGCATCCGCGCAAGGGTCATTCATGTTGAATGCCGGTGTAACGCAGTTTGAGCGATGTGCTCCAGGGTTTTGTGGTTGAGCCAGAGTGGAGGCATGAGTATAGGCTGTTCAGGGGGATCGCTGTCACGCGCCCGCCCCGGGGTTCTGCTGAACCGTCGTTGGGTTTACGCAGGCTCCTTGTCTTAAGTCGGGCGTGCCCCTCTACAGGAGGAAGAACCAAACATAGCGAAACAATAGTCTGGGGACACGCCCGACCCAAAACTGCCTGGCAAACCCAAACCCACGTGCAGCAGCCGTGGCAGACGATCGGCGGGCGGAAGGCTCGGGAGGAGGAGCGCCTTGGAATGCTGCGTACTTGGGAAGGCCAAGCCGCGAGCACCACTCGTTATCGGCCTTTCTGATCCCTGGGGAATCGGTCGGCTTGTGTGCGTGTGGCTGAGGCCAGGCGCTGCGAAGCGCTCCGAGACGCTCCCAGGCGCTCCCAAGCGCTCCCAGGCGCTCCCAGGCGCTCCTCCTCCTCCTCCTCCTCCTCCTCCTCCTCCTCCTCCTCCTCCTCCTCCTCCTCCTCCTCGTACCAAGGCTCGGCCTGCGCGGCGTGTCCCTGCCTGGGGCCCAGCGCGCAAGCAGGAGGCCCCGCGCCCCCGGGCTCGAGGCGGCAGCGCGCAGCTCCCCGCCAGGGCCAAGCGAGACAAGGGCGGGCACCAGGCCAGGCATCGCTCGGACGTGTGCATTTCTCGTTCGGCGAGGACCATCGAGCGATGGCCAGCAGGCCACTGCGCTGCCGCGGCCCAGCGGTGTCGACGTGTTTTACCAGCCTCGAACGTATCCCTATCCCCAAGGTTGACACGCCAAAAGGCGATGACAATCTTAGGGATTCGCCCTCAAAAAATAAGGGAATCCCTAAGATTGGCATCGTGATGAGGAGGTGCCCAGCATAGGGATAGGGATATGCTCCAGGCCGGTAAGTGTTGCGCGAAGGAGCACAGAACTTTGGGCCAAGTCGGCTACCTGGCGGTCGTTAAACGTGTGTGTTTTAGCGATGCTGCAGTCCCAGTCTACTTTGCCGGCCTTCCTGCCTCCAGGGTCGAGCGAAAACCAGATCTGCTTCCAACGCCTTCCTGCAAGTCATGCCTCTACCCGTTGCTTCCGACCGACCGACGGGTACGGATAGTTGGGAGGAGGATCGATGCGGGGGGCGGGGGGGGGGGCGAGGAAGGATGTGGATCTGTACGGTCGATTCGCGTCGTGTCGACCAGCGGCGACCCCGCCGCCGGCGTTCAACTTTGAGCGCCGCTGGCGACCCAGCCAGATCGGTGCTGAACGACCTGGCGTTTCGGACGCGGCCGATCGTTCGAGGTCGAACGATCCACGTGGTGTCCGAGACCATCGCCAGGGTCGACACGACACGAACCTGCCGCATGCGCGTTCGGCCCCCGCCCCGTCCCCCCCCCCCCGCGCGCGCGCGTGCCGAGGCATCGAGGGCTGGTTCTGGACGCCCGCCAAGTAGACCCGCGGGCGCCGCCCGCCGGCCCGCCGGGTGGCGGGCGGCGCGCACGTGCAGGGGGGCCTTTCCTTGCTGCGCCGGGCGCCCAGGGTCAGCAGGACAAAGACAGAGCAAGAGGTCCTCGTGTTCCTCCGTCTCCTCCTCCTCCTCCTCCGTCTCCTCTTGCTCCTCCGTCTCCCCCTCTTCCACCGTTCCCTCCTCCTCCTCTTCCTCCTCTCGGGAGAGCCGGCAGGTCAGGAGGTCCTTCTGCTCCTCCTCCGTCTCCTCCTCCTCGGTCGCCTGCTCTGTCTCCTCCTCCTGCTCCTGATCGTCTTCCTCCTCCTCATCGGTCTCCTACTCATCCTTCGTATCCTCTCGATCTTCTTTTCCCACTCCTAGTCTTTGCGGCTTGCTGCATGCGGGCTCCACAGCGGTGGCCGCCGCTTGCGGGCGTCCATAGGTTTGTCCTGCGGGCAGGGTTGTTTTCTCCTCCCCCTCTCCCTCTCTCAATGGTAGCTGCACGTCCTCATCGTCTGCACTCGACGCGCATCATGCGATGCGAGCGTGCTGCGGTTGGCCATGATCTATTCGCGGGCCGTGCTGGCTTTTGCGTCTGAGTGCTTCCGTTGGCCCGTGGGTGTGAGTGCTCAGGTAGTGGGACGATTTAATTGCCAGCTGCAGGTGTGGGCTTATGAAATGGCATCCGTGCTAATATCACCAGACAGCTGGCCAGTCGGTAAAGACCCACTGCATTTCAGCCCACCTCCACATACCACCCCCCCGCCCATCCACCCGCCGCAGAAAGGCAGAGCCTCCTGGACTGGAGGTGCACCCGTGCCACGCGCGCCAAGCTGCCCTTGTTGACGGAGGTGGGAAGGAGAGGAGAAGTTCTAAGAGCGAGAGAGGGAGGGTAAGTGAAGGGCTGGCTGATGGGATGCACATTTCCTGCGGGTTAGGATGCACAAGCCCGGGGAGCATTCGGTGGTAGCGCCGCAGCCCCCCGTGCCGCCCATCTCGTCCTCCTCCTCCTCCTCCTCCTCCTCCTGCTCGCTCCTGCTCGCCCCTGCTCGCTTCTTCTCCTCCTCCTCCTCCTCCTCCTCCTCCTCCTCCTCCCCCTCCCCCTCCTCCTCCTCCTCCTCCTCCTCCTCCTCCTCCTCCTCCTCCTCCTCCTCCTCCTCCTCCTCCTCCTCCTCCTCCTCCTCCCTCCTCTTCCTCCTCCTCCGCCTCCTCCTCCTCCTCCTCCTCTTCCTCCTCCACCTCCTCTTCTTTCTCCTTCTACTCCCCAGCCTTCTAGTCTCCCGCAGACCAGCCACGAGACCTCGCTAGAGGGGGCGGCTGGGGAGGCCAGCCCACACAGGCCAGAGTGCAGATCCTGCTCGGCGTTGCGCGCGCGGCATGTCAGTCGGCGGCGAGCGAGGGGGGAAGTGAGAAGGAGAATGCCTTCTCAGAAGGCTCGGAAGTCCCTCGACCTTCTCAGAAGTTCTCTAAGGCTTCCCCGGAGACGACAACAATAGTTCTCAGAAGGCGCGAGGGTTTCTGAGAAGTCCCGCCGCCTTCTGAGAATGTCTTCTCCGTTTCTTTCCCCCCCCTGGCTCGCCGCCGACATAGGGAACGGTGCATGTGGCTGCCATCGATTTGAACGCGTAGGGGGACACAAGGTGGCGCTCAGGAAGTGCGAGCGGACACGGGCGAAGTCAGCCCCCAGTGGTGCAGCCCTGCAGGTCAGCATCGGTGGAGTCCTACCCCTCCCTCCCTCTCTCCTTCCTGATGCCACTGTTGATGCTCCCCTTCCTGTTCCAGCTCGCCTCTCCCTCACCCGAGCGTTCCTCCTCCTCCTCCTCCTCCTCCTGCTCATGCTGTTCCTCATGCTGTTCCTCCTCCTCCTCCTCCTCCTCCTCCTCCTCCTCCTCCTCTCCACCTCTTTCTTCTCCTCCTCTCCCTCCTCCTCCTGATTCTTCTCTAGCTCCCGTCAAGCTGTCTGCTCGCCAGCTCTGCCAGGCTCCAGGCCTCCATTCACCGAGGTGCTGTGTCGCAAGATATCCTGCAAGAGGCGTCTGAGGTAACGACATATGCACACCCTACCCTCGAGGGTTTCTCCGACGGGCTTAGGCGACCCGTCCTCCTCCGCCTCCTCCTCCTCCTCCTC